CAAGACATGCCGAGGTGGGAACAATAGGAACTCTCATGGGCTGCTTGTAGAACTGAGAAGTAGTGCGTGGGCTGCGGGGACATTTTGTTGGTTTAAAACCTAGCCTTGCTTTTGTCACGTGATCATGCTCACTGATTATTTCACGCATATATTACACACACCTCTCAGTCTAAGATCCTCACAACAGATTCGCAGTCCCAGGGAAAGCCGGTGCAGGGGTGGGGCTTGAGCTGGGTGGGTCTTCCCTGGCAGCCCCAGGGATAGAGTGCCAGGGGCGGGGCTCGTGAGGGGCGGGGCTTGTGTACGGGCAGGGCACAGCTGGAGCCGCTGGCAGAATTAAAGGGGGCTCTAGAAATCTGACCTCCACCGACCTTGCATGCAGCAGGCCCCAGGCCAGGAGATCACGTGCAGTGCAGCAACGGCTGGAGCTATCTCTGAGGAACTTGAGCTGGGCAGCAAGTCTTCGAGGAGCTGGGTCGGGGGTGGGGTTGGGGGGGCAGGCTAATGGAGGCCCAAGTTGCTTGGGAGAGTTCTGTATTTGGTTTAACAAAAACAAAAAACCCCCCAAAACAAAAGGCGTTTCAGATAAAGATTTGTTTATCTTAGAGTGATTTAGTCTCTGGATAGGTGTGATTTAATTAAAATGTAGTAAATAGGGCCTGGCATGGCTGAGCACAGCTTTAATCCCAGCGCTAGGGAAGCAGACGGAGGCTGGTGGATCTCTTGAGTTCCAGGCCAGTCAGGGCTACATAGTGAAATCCTGTCAGAGAGAGAGAGAGAGAGAGAGAGAGAGAGAGAGAGAGAGAGAGAGAGAGAGAGATTGCCTTTTCTTATGCTACTTAGTAACTGTGTAGCAGAGACTGAAGCCTGTAGCAGTCATCTCCAACCACGGAGCAGCAATTTTTCAGTTAGAATGTAAGGATACTTCTATTTCTCTGTCAATGTGAGTGCATTCATGTGTGTTGGTCTGTGTGGTGCCGAGCTACAATCGTCCTCAGCCCTAGACTTCACCTTTTGATGAAATCAGCAGCAAGGCCATAATGTGAAAATTCACATAAGGGGTGACAGGACTTTACAGGTTGTATTTTGAATTCTTCAATGGAGTGCAAAGTGATATTTGCATTTTCAGAAATGTCTGTGGATGTGTGGTCAACAAGGATTTGAATGGACAGGGAAAAAGTCATTAGAGTTTTGAGGTTGTTGCACTGGTCTGTGGAAAGACAGATTACCTCTACTTGGATGTCTGAAGATATTTTGTACTGATAGTAAAGGACAAAAACGATGTGAGGAGGCAACTGACCTGGAGAGACTCCCTAATCAGGTGCTAATCCCACTGAACAAGAGTAAAGACCATCACCTAAATTAGCCAAATTTACAGTAAGCTTTATTATATGACACAATATAGCCAGGACACCGCCTCTCCCTAAATGCAGGATTTGAAAGGTCAGCATGGAACACAGGAGAAAGTGGAGTTTATGTAGCTCAAAAACTGCAAGATTAGGGGTTTTCAAGGGTTAGAGGATCTCCAGAGGAATTTATTTACATAGGAACTTGCCAGAACATCTCAAAATTATTTGACAGAACACCTCATCTGATTAGGGTGGAGGTCTGAGTATAATTCATGGAACACGTCAAATTCCAGAAAATGGGTCAAGATATGGACAAACAAGTTTTACAGAAAACAGGAATGAACTTGTTTTGACCAGTAACAAGATGGCTCCTAATCTTAAGATGGAGTCAGGCTGGTCCACCACAGGCTCAGTTGAAATTATTGGTTAATGTGGGATAAAGATCTTAGTGATCTCAGGTAATTTCAGAGGAGAAATGTGACTCTTTTTATTAGCAACTGCCCAGGAAGAGCTGAGGAAGAAATTCAGTGTCGTTTGTATGAACGAGAATTGTTGAGACCAAGGTTGGATAAAGCACAGGGACAAATAGCCAAACCAATGAACTATGAACCAGTAGCTGAGGAGGCCCCAACTGGATCAGGCCCTCTGAATAACTGAGACAGTTGATTAGCTTGATCTGTTTGGGAGGCATCCAGGCAGTGGGACCGGGTCCTGTACTCAGTGCATGAGTTGGCTGTTTGAAACCTGGGGCTTATGCAGGGTCACTTGGCTCAGCCTGGGAGGAGGGGACTGGACCTGCCTGGACCGAATCTACCAGGTTGAACTCAATCCTCAGGGGAGTCTTTGCCCTGGAGGAGATGGGAATGGGGGTTGGGCTGGGGGGAAGGCAGGGATGGGTGGGTGGGAGGGGGGAGAACAAGGGAATCTGTGGCTGATATGTAAAATTAAATTAAATTATAAAATAAAAAAAGAAAGAAAAAATCAACAAAAATATTTAAAAAAAAAGAAATTCAGTGTCTAGAAATTCATTTATGCTGTGATAGTTTACTTAAAATCATTTATGTAGAAGTGAGAGTGAAGAACATTTTGCATTGTGGGAGAAATGTTTCTAACTGATATTATCTAAACACAATGTTAGATATTAACAAACAAACAAGCTGCTAAAACCCAGCACATTGGGTGACATAAAGATGTATGGACACACTGGGTCTTTTGGTTTGTTTTTGTTGTTTGAGACAGGGTCTCATTAGGGAGTCCAGACAGCTCAGAAACTTACAATCCTGCTATTTCAGCTTCCTAACTGCTGCATTATAAGCATGCACCGCCACGGTCTATCTGTTTTCATATTCTGCATGCCAGTGGCCACAAAGCAGAGTTTGAGGCTAGGGAGAAGACAGCTTTGGGAGCAGCTGCCCATGAGAGCTGGGTGGGAGAGCTGCACCCCGAAAGCTCCTGCTGTGAGCTGTTTGAAGATCATGATTCATTCCTCTTCTTATGCTTATTAGGAATGTTAGTCCTGTCCTCATGAGGGAGATTTCACTGTGGTTTAGTGACAGATTTCATCCTCACATGCTTTACAAACACATTCAGTGCATGCGCCCCCTCCCCCTTAATGTGGAGGTAAATTAAGACAAAGGACATGCCAAGGAAGGACGATGGCCTGAGGGTGAAGAGGACTAAGAGGAGGATCAGAAATGAACCACTAGTGAGTGCTGTCTTAACCACTGTAATTAATTAATTTAATGATTAAATGAGGCCAAAGACCATAGGTTTGCACAAAAAGCATCTTCTATGATGTCACAGCTGAGGATTCAGGAAATGGCCCAGAGTCTTGGCACAGATCCTATGTAGGTTGATGGGGCTTAAGAAAACCCCATGAACTAGCCCGATAGTGAGGCCTACACCGAGTTCTCTTCTACCATGAGTCTCTTCTGAGACCCATTTCTAACATAGCCAAGGATTGGCTATGTGCGGACACGGCCAGGCTAGCTGGTGTTTTAGCTGATTGGCCACTAACAAGGGCCTCTTTTCATGCCTCCCAGTGCACACGGGCCTGAAGAACTTCCTTCAATTGTGAATTAGAATATGAAGCTACAGTCTGGGTCTGGTGGCATAGACCCGTAAGCTCAGCTACAAGGTGGTGGCGGTGGTGGCATCTCAAGCAGTGCTTGGACTGCAGAGTGAATTCAAGGCCAACTACCACAGCGTAGGAAGACCTTGTCTCAAAAGACAAAAGAATCCGGTGTAGCCAGAAGTTTCTCTGGTCCTGCGTCACCCCATGGTCTGGATGAATCTCTCCCATTTGTGGTCCCACAGTCGCTTTTAAAATAATCACTCAGAGGCTTACATTAATTACAAACTGTATGGCTATGGCTCAAGCTTCTTGATAGCTAGCTCTTATAACTCAACCCATTTCTATTAATCTATGTATCGCCACGTGTTCTGTGGCTTTACCTGTGTCCCATTACATGTTGCTCCTTGGATGGTGGGCTGGTGTCCCCCCACTCTGCCTTTCTCCTCTCACTGTCTCTTTTGGATTTTCCCGCCTGACTCCATCCTGCCCTGCCATACGCCAATGCAGCTTTATTTACTATCCAATGGGAGCCACACATATTCACAGCATACAGAAAGACATCCCACAGCAATCAGGGGATATAGTTTAGTAGTGGAATGCTTGCCTAGCATACAAAGTTCTTCTGTTCAATCTCCAATAAAGAAAAAAAAAATAAGTGGTTCTACAAAAGAGTTCACAGGAACAGGCTCTTCCTGTCACTGTCAGAATGGCGTTTGCAGATGTGTAAGATGAAGCTAGCTAAAGGTGTCAGCTGAACAGTCCCCAGATGGCTATTGGCCCCTCCCTCTAAATGCCAGGCCTTTTCCTCCAGAAGTCCCTGGCTAGCTGAGGACTGGGTCAGTCTTGCCATGCATGTCTTTAGGGGAGCAGAAAGTACTCCTTAAGAAAAATGCAGTCGCTAGACTAATTCTAGAAACTGGGTAATGGTCGACAGGGCTGAGCGCTGGGAAGGTTTTTGAGGACACAGATTATAATAGCATGTTCTAAGTAGTCCCTTTAACCAGAGAGGCGTTGTGAGAGGGTGAGAACAGGGATTCCAGGGGCTGTCAGTCTGCATTCTCCCAGGATCAGTGGGTAAATCTAGAGGAAGCCCTGGGCCTGCACCTGTGCACCCTTGAGCTCGGCATCTCCAGGTTTCCCCTCATTATCTCTCCTTCCATGTAGCAGCCTGTGGTGGTTTCAAAGAAAGTGGCCCCCAAAGGTAGCGGCACTATTAGGAGGTGTGGAGTGGATGTCATCTTGTTGAGGAAGTGTGTCACTGTGAAGGCAGGCTTTGAGGTCTTACACACACACACACACACACACACACACACACACACACACACACACCACACACTCAAGCTACACCCAATGAGACAGTTCACTTCCTGTTGCCTGCAGATCAAGATGTAAAGCTCTCAGCTCCTTCTCCAGGATCATGTCTGCCTGAATGCCACCATGACCCACCATGACGATGATGGACTGAACCTCTGAACTGTAAGTGAGCCAATTAATTGTTTTCCTTTATAAGAGTTGCTATGGTCATGTCGTCTCTTCACAGCAATAGAATCCCAAACTAAGACACAGCTCTAACACCGTTTTCAACAAAATTACCTTTATTCACTGTAAATTACAAACTTCTAAAGTGATAATACCCTCCACTCCTCACCCCACCCCTCACCCCTGCCTTTATTTCCCAGGGCCCCCTTAGCACCAGCTGATCAGCCCTGGGTGAGCAGGAGCTGGTTTTCTTTTCTTTTTTTTTGCTCTGGGGCTGCAGGCTAGAGGCAGAGTGAAATCTCTGCCTGCTTTGAGGGGACATCACATCGGTGGCTCAGTGCCGCTTCTTCCTCTTCCTCTTCCGGGTGCCTAGTGACTCATACTTCCTCTTCTGAGCCTGCAAGGGGTGAGCAAGCTCCAGGGCTGAGAATGGCCCTTCAAACATCGCATGACCAGGCCCTGAGTTAGATCTCTTAGCCATAGGAGTCAAGCCTCCAATGAGAGCTCGCTTCTTTGACTTGGCAATTGGAGATGCATCAGGACTGAGGCCCCTTATCTTTGGAGATGAGGGTTTGGGGATACTATCAGAGTCAGAGAAACCCGCGTAGGGGCACAAATGGCCAGCCAGTTTCCATGGCACCAGCCTGTACTGGGAACACAGGAGGAAGGCCAGGCTGGGGAGCTCCTCCTTGTCCTCAGCGGCTCTGCCCAGTGACTCATAGGGCTCCTCGGTAGCAGAAACTCCTCTGAGGCTCACCGCACATCTGGACCCCAGGTTTGGGGGATGGGCTTCTCGGCCACAGGGAATAACAGTGGATCCGATGTCTGCCACTGAGGGTAAACACTGACTGCTTGGGAAGACAGTAGGCCTAGGTCTCCACATTTCCGAATTGGTGGCTCCAGAACACTGATGGTCTGAGGAAGCCATTTGTGAGGAACATTTCTGTGCACTGGCCCCTCTTTGGGGACTATGGTCATCTCTCTTTGCACCTTGGCAGTCAGTCAGTACAGAAGCGTTGGCAAGTATCTGAGGGGCACCGGGGTTCAGAGGTGCACCCTTACAGCCTTTCTTCTTCAAAGCCAGGTGCTTCTCCAGCAGCTGCAGGAGGAAATGGGCACGTAAGACTCAGCCCAGGCTGGAAGGATGAGAGGGGGTGAAGCATTTGGGTGGAGGTAGCCAACTGTCTGAGTGTCCGAGACTGAGGGTCTGCTGGGTAGCATGCTTGCTTCCTTGCAGCTGTATACTGTAGACCACCCCCAATGTCCATACCTATGTCCCCTTCTGGGTGAAGCCCCAGGTAGGATGCCTTGACTTCCTGTAGGTCAGTCAAGGTCACATGGTTCTTATGAGCAGAATCCTCTCTTTTCCTGTCCACCTGGTGTTCCTCAGAACCCCACTCTATTGGGGTTCTCCCTTGCCCGTCCAGTTTGCCTGGTGTCTCTCTCTATCCTGTCTGCCTGGTGTCTGCTTGCCTCTTGCCTACCTATTGCTCCTTCCCTGCTGTCCCTAGTGTTCACCCTTCCCTGTCTACCTGCTTAACAGTGAGTTCTTCCTCATACTCCAAATCCTTCATTAGAGCCAGTATGTCCATCTCTGGTTTGGAAGATAGGATTTCTGCCACAAATTGGGGGTTTATTATGGCCTCCACCTATAAACAGAAGGAAAAGGACTTGAGTGCCAGGAAGCAGGGAGTCTTCAAGCCAAAGGGACCTCTATCTTGTTCTATGTTGCTGCCAAGTCATGATGACAACCAACATTTACACACATGCACACACACACACACACACACACACACACACACACACACACACACACAAAGAGAGAGAGACAGAGAGACAGACACAGACAGACAGACGTGCACACATGAGAGAGAAAGAGAGAGGCAGACAGACAAAGACACAGAGAGTGCACACACACAGACAGACACACACAGAGACAGACAGACAGAGCTCTGAAGGTAGGGAAGCAGGCTTGGTTACAAGGACCAGGATGCCAAACTCAGAATCTGGCCCACACCAGGGCCCCAGATGCAGCTCACTTGTTCAACAAAGTGTTTCTGGGAGCACAGCTCGTCAATGTAGTCCAGTAGCCCTGCGTCTGAGTACAAGTCATCTTCTTCCTGCTTCGGCCTGATGCTCTCCTCTTCCTCCTCCTTGGGCTCTCCTGTGAATGACTGTGGAAGCCTCTCCAGCCAGTCCATGATATTCATGTATTCCTGCACAGCTTCAGGTGGAATTTCCATGGGAGGCTCAGTCTTCTGTAACTGCTGGTGTCTGAGTACTGGGAGGTGGGCAGGGTCAGACTTGGGGACAGCCTTTATGGAGCTGCACACTAGGAGACAGGAGAGCATGATGATACATGGATGGGGTTCAGCTCCAGCCATGCCATGCAGAGCATAGTTCAGGGGAGCTGCAGTGGCCTAGGGTAAGCCAACACAGTTTTCTCTAAACATCTGTGAGAGAGAACATTGCAAAGGGTGATATGCCTACGACAGTCATATGGGAGAACATTTGGAGCCCCCAAAGTTTCAGGTTCTCTCCAAACTCAGTGCCCAGGTCCTGATCACATGGTGTTTGAGTCCTTAGGGAGCAATGATCATGGCCAGTTCAATGATTCTCCAGTTCAAGACTAAGAGCTGCAAGGGACCCCAGGCTATATAGCAAATGCCCTGTCCTGAAGGAAGAAGCCCACATGTGGGGCAAAAGTCTATTTTGACTGATTTGACTTTTGCATAGAAACCTAAAGGTATGTGAGCCCTACCTGGTTCCTCAGCCACCTCAGGAGCTGGGGGCCTCGGAGGATCTTGCCTTGTTGTGGTTGTAAGAACTTGGCACTGGACACCTCTCATCATCTCCAGCCTTGAATTCTCCATCTCCAGCCTTGAATTCTCCATCTCTTCTGCACTCTCGAATTCTGTGAACCTAGGGATGAGGGAGGCCAGGGCCCATCATAGGAGATTTCTAAAGGTGATCATGTGTATAGGGTCTTGGGGTGGTCTGGTACACTCCCATGAAGTTGCTGATCTTGGAACATAACCACAGCTCTGGGGCACACTATATCTCTTGATATTTGCTAGGAATCAAATCAGTTTGAGGTGGCCCAAGTGGGGCTTTCATGTGACTCCTCCTTAAGGCCTATCTTGACCTTGCCTAGAGCCACAGAGAAGAGCCGACTTGTAAGATGGCCATGGATATGACTGATGGAGCACACCAGGGATCTTGGACCAGATCCAGAGATGCGGAAGCTGAAACTGGGAGAGCTGGAACGACCTGGGAGACAAGGGCCCAGGAGATGTCAAGAGAAAGTAGAAAGGAAGCTGAGAGGCGTGGCTGCTTCCCTCTGAGAGCTGTTTGTCGGCTTGTGTGCACAACAGCATCACATGGAGCCAAGGCAGAGACCAGACATGTCCTCAGAGTGTGTAAGAGGCTTCTCTCCTCTCTGCGTGCTTCCGTTCATATCCACTCCAGGTACACAAGGATACAACTGAGGCCACTCTCTCGGGATGCAGTGGGTTCTACTGTCGAAAAGCAGTGGCTCCATGCCAGGTGGTTGGCCTAAGACTTGTGGAGCATGTTTGCTTTGCACAAACCCCAGTGTTGGAGGAGACCCCATGGGGCTGGGCTGGGCCACTTCTCCCACTCTCACCCTGCTAGACTCGTGACTAATGAGGTCAGAGCTGCTGGGACCATGGGGCAGATAGCCCAGCACTCCAGGACGTCAAAACAGCATCCTGGACACCAAGACTGCCACCAGGGCCCAAGTGTTAGGTAGTCCTCTTGGCAGAGTGTGGGTAACAACTCACTAGACCTAGCTCCAACTGAGCAGTACCCACAACACATACCCTCCTTAAGACCCATCCATGTTTAACGGCTCCCCACACACCCTGCTTCACGACTCCCTTGACTCACTTTTCCGCCATCTCAAAGAAGATCATCCGGTCATAATTGCTTGTGCACTGCCATTCCTGCAGACCCCTCCACAGGCCCTCCTCCACATTCATGGTGGGCTTCCTCCGGGCCAGGGACCGAAGCACCGGACTGTAATTCAGTAGAACCACTCAACTCCAGACCCAGCAGACCCAACCCAAGATGCATCTGTATCCTGTGCCAGTGTAAAGTCAGCCTCTAGGAATGCCTAACCATGCAGCAAACATCGACACAAAGATCTCTGCCCATTTCCCTGGCTGCCACGTGAATTCTCCTTCTACCACTCAGTGTGGAAGATTGAGTGAGGTTTAGGCTCCCGGTATGGAAGCATGGGTGACAAAGTCAAAGAGAAAGTCCCTGAAAATGGGACCTTGTGTGGTAGCCAGGCTTAGGTCATGATGCGGGGCTCCCGGGATGGGGTAGTTCTCTTCTTGGAAGGAAGAAGAGGCCCCCCCCCCAATTTTCTTTGAGTCCTGTGAGACAGCCAAGGACACTTGATCAGAACTGACCCTTCAAAGTCCTGTCAGAGTCTCCAGTGTCCAGAACTGTGAAAATACAGTGTCTGTGGTTTGAGTCCTCTGAGTCTACCTGGTCATGAGGCTGAGCTGACTGACAAAATGCACAGAATGATCTGGAACCCAGGGTTAAGGACTGGGGCAATGGAGCAAAGAGACCAAAGATTTCCCCAGTGCAGGTCTGGAGCCTGCTGGCCTAAGAGACCTTCCCCGGAACAATGGGGTGGGGACAAATGTACAGGTCTTTCTGGAGTCTGTCAATGCTAGAGGGTAAAAAGTTAAGGAGAGAAGAACCACCAAATGGAGTGAAAGGCCTAAATCCAAATCCTAGCTCCCGGGACTCCAGGATCCCTAGTGTGACATGGCTGTTCCTCAGAGTGTGGCCCTCTGGAGTGGCTCCATCACCTTCAGCTCCTTCCTTGTCTACCTCACACTCATCACGTTGAAGCCCCAGATGGACCTTCCAGGTACGGGCGACACTCACATGAGGAAGCAGGAGAAAGCTGCCACGTCAGGAGTCTGGGACAGGTGCCGCTGGACCAGAGTCTTGATATGCTGCCAGCGCCGGAAGTTCCCATAGACACTGTCCGGTTTGGACGAGTAGTTTTCTGGGGAGTTGTTTTGGCCGTTGGCTGGACCACTCTCCCCATATGCTCCTTTTGTGGGTGGTGCTGAGTTCACTGGGGACCTGACAGGAACCACCGGGACGACTGGCTGTGTGGTCGGGGGATGAGGGCCCAGGACCCACGTTCCTTCTTGAGGCTGGACGGTTGAAGCAATCCGAGCATTTATGAAGGTGTTTGCGGCAGGTGTCGCCATGATGAGTGAAGCAGGGTGCCCCACGCCACCACCCTGGGGCCCGGGGCCATTACAGTTGAGGGGCACCTGAGTGAGGACAATGTTGGCATTGTGCACAGGCTGGACAGGCCTGCCCGGTGTCCCAACCTGTACAATGTTCAGAGGTACAGCTGTCCCCAGGGCAGTGCTTCCATTTTCTGCCACCAAAGACATCCCAGGCAAGGCAGACAGCACTAGAGGATTCCTGGGAGAGATGCCTGCAGTCACGAGGGGTGCTGGAGGCTCCCAGAATAACTGGGGTGCTGGTTGGGGGGCAGGTGGGAGAACAGGCAGGGTAGCAAATGTAGGCATGGATGCACCCGGGTTCACAGTCATGTTCTGTCCCAGTGAAGATGCTGTGAAGATAAAGGAGAGAGTAGATGGGAGAGGAGAGAGGGCACAGGAGGGTGACTCAGTGGTCCTGGTAGTGGAAATTGGGAGAGGGTCATAGGGAAGAGGAGACTGTACTGTTTGCAGATTTCCCTGAGGGAATTCTATGCTGGGTTCATCTGGCTGAGCACTGTTCCAGCAGGGATCTTCCTCTCCATCCACCAAGATTCCCTGATCCCTGTCTGTGGAGAGGAGCCCTCAGCGTTCCCACCTCTGAGAGGCTTTTTCTGGAATCCCTGGAACACCAGTGTTCTAGCTCTCTTCCCCGAGATGGATCACTTTGACTTGGTCTGGACCACCATCCCAGTGATTATGCTCACAGGAGGCAAGGCACTATCAATGGGGACAGTTTCTAGAAGGGCCTCTGTGAAGGTGGCCGGTTTCAGATACTGACCTCATCCCCTTCTGATTGTTCCTCCCACACTCTCAAACCTCCCCCATTTCTAGTCCAGCACAACAAACAAAAAACACGTCTGTGCAATCCTCCAAGTCAGCACCCCAGAATCCTGGAGGTGACCCTGTAGCATGTTCTACCCATGCTCCTGCTCTCCCTCCTAATGCCTCCCACAGGAAACAGCAATGGGATAGATTCTGGCATCCTCACACTGCCCTGATGGTCATTGGTCCCCACCATGGTTGGGAGCTCTTCCCACAGTACTGGTGTGTAAGACAGCCATGCAGTTCCCTGACGCCCTGTCCTTGCAAGCCTGGTAGGCTGTGGAAGGCTGTGAAGGGCCAGGGAATGTGAGTGGAGAGGGGCTGTCTGGAGGTTTCTGGGGATTACCACAGCTACTGGCATTGTCACGATTAGCCATGAAATGAAAACCGCATGTATCCTTTTCTTGCGAGAGCCCAACAATATAAGGAAATGATTAGGTGCCAAGTGAGACATAATTCCCTGGAGCTCATTGCTGTTCAAGCAGGAACTCATGAGGGCTCTCTCAAAGAGAGCCAAGTCCAAAAACCCAGAACAACCATTCTAGCTCTGCTTAACAGTAACACAGAACATGTTCTAAGACAAACGCTTCTCTCTAAAGCCCCTGGAAAAGGACCCAGCCTCCTTAGAACCCACCCAAACCAACAGCACCCCACGTCAGGGAAGAGAGGCTTCCCATTACAGTTCCATGCTGGGCTAAGGGAACTGCACAAATAGTTCCAAGACAACACCTCTAAACTGATATTTGAAAAAGTAAGCCCCAAAATTAAGAACAGCCACCCATTTCTTTGTTAGTTGATGTTTCCTAACTGCTCTGCTTCACAAGAATCAAAAACATCAACTACCTGGGGAAGGAGAAGCCTTCCCTCTATCGTAAGGCATGAGGGACTCTGGGCTGCCAGTTGATGAAATAAACTCCATCCTCACAGAGAAGACCCCACTGAGCTGTATCTTGCCTAGTCTGCACTGTCCTCCCAAGGTCTAAGGTGGCCCAGTTAAATTCCTGGAATTCATAATTTCACAGCACAAGTTCCAGCAGCATAGAGAAATGACCCAGAGCTCAGCTGTTGCCCGTGAGCCTTCCCTGGGCCACCACAGTGAACCATCCCACCACAGCTATGACCTGTGCTCAGGAGACCTGCCTGCCATACAGGAGGAGCCAGTCTGGGGCCTCTCATCATATCTCCTGATCCAGTGTGTTTCCTTGTGGCAACTCAGTTCCACCATGGACTCTGTTCACCCTGCCGTAAGCTTTGTCAGTCTCCGAGGTGAGATGTCCTTGCCGAAGTCCAGAGCTGTCTGTCTCCCATCCCCTCCCTTGGTCCAGTCAGTCATTGATAGCATCAGATTTAAATTGCCCGCGGCAGGGAGTCAGGTCCCATACCCCGATACTCCAGGCTTACCTTCGGAAGCTATTCCTACAGGCTTGGACAGTAACCATGCCTGTCTGCTAGGATCCATGGTGAGAAAACTCAGATGAATCACACCGAGAGTCGCCAATATGTGACAGATGCTCAAGAGAGCCGGCCACAGCTGAGAAAAGTTTGAAAGTAAACAGCTCCAGAATGTGGCATACAACATTCTGAAGCGGGGGAGGGGCAAGAGTGAAGCGGGGCTGGGGAACATTCCGTAAGGGGCTGTGGCAGGTGCCTAAGAACCTTGGGGTCAGTTCAAAGGATGCATCCTTGTTAGAGGTGCTTGCACATGCTTAGTGTTTGCCTCTAGGAAAATTTTAGATGGTTTCTTATAGACACAGCACACTGCGGTCACTGATGCCTCTTCCTTATTTCTTCAGTAGATCTTGTTTTAATCCCTTCATCCTGCGTTCTGCATCCCTCCTACAGAGGGCAGGTGTGTGAACATTTTTACATTGTTTACACTTACTCAACAAATTAGAACATATATGCAGACAAATATAGAGGGTCTAAGTAACAGAGTCAGACGTATTTGAAAATCTGATCTCAGGAGATCCATGGATCTTCTCGCCATGTGCACGCCATTCTTTACGAAGCAGTTCTTGTGTGTCCAACCAGTGCTGGGATGTCTGCACCCTGTAGCATGATAGTCTCATTCACCATCTCTTTTTGCTAGAGGTGCCAGCCCATCAAGGCTTCACTCAGGATATGTAGTCCACAGGACTCAAAAATGAAATCACTTCTCTGGATCAGTGGTATGGAGTCCTTTTATTGCAAACAGACATTTGATGATTAAAAATCTGTTCTTCTACCACAAAAAATAATGTGTAGGCTCATGTGACAAATTGGCCTTTGTGAGCTTCTCAATGGAAACAAGGTTAAATGAGAGGGACAAGAAAAGAGAAAACATTCTTTTACTCCAAGACAAAGAGGCTTAACATTCTTAGGGCTCTGATTTTCTAGGCATAGAAATCCATTACCCGTGTACATTTTGAAAAAGCCAGGATTCCATTTACCATCGCCCAGTACTGATTTCTGTGTGTGCATGTGCCCATCTTATGCTCCAATATGATCTTGGATTCACTAGCTGTAGACTTCCATCTTGTTTTTTTTATATGTTGGTGTTCTTGGAATCATGTTCTCTGGTTGCAGGAAAGACTATCTCACTTAATTGCCTTAGAAATTGTTAATGTTAGGATGCTAAAGCAAAAGGCATTCACAACAAACAATATTTGTATCTGTAGTCTGATCATTGCGCAGACTGGAGATGGCATCACAATGCATGTTGGGTAAAAGATCCAAATGTTCTACACTGTGGTGAGTTTTTTGCATTTTGCATATTGAAGAGTTTTTGACGCCAGTTGCAAAGACACCAAATGCAAGTTTTTAGTAGCATGAAATATTTGATAATCCATTATAAAAAGAATTTGCAGTAGATGATTTTGCTCCGTTATAGGATAGTGTCTATTCTGAGCATGAATAAGGTGGATCATGCTAGGTACAATGCTTGGAGGTTTGGTAAATTAAATATAGATTTGACTTGTGATACTTTCTGACGGTGATATAGCATCATAACTGAAAGAGCAGGTGCCTTTCTGTGTGTGAGTATGGTTGTAGCAGCCCCTTAAAGAAAGCTTGTCTGGTTCTCTTTTGATATGTGTGTCTCATTTTATCAGTGTCATAAGGCTGGGAGACAGTAGTCTCATTTGCCTTGTGACAAGAAGGGTTGCTAGGAAATGGTTGAGGGGGACGTGGACTGAGAATCCAGAGAGCTGCCGCAGAAGCTGCTGGGTGCAAGCCCCACTTCCTGGTAGGAGTCAGTGGTGTTCCTGCTGTGGCAGAGGTTTGGGACCGGAAGAGAGGTTTAGAGGGACCCAGACTATCAGGTCTCAATTAAAGGTAGAATGACACCAATTTCACAGGAAACGTTTGCGAACTGACATTTATTGGCAGAAGCTCCCCTTGTGAAGTAGATTTTTAACACACTGGATGTCATAGGAAGGACCCTAGAGGCAGGTAAATTATGTCTCAGAGTGTTTCCTGGGTCTGATTTTTCCTTTTCTTTGTTTCTTTCTTTTTATTTTGGCTAGAAGTGTTCCTTAATGGAGCTTTCAGGAAGTATGGGAGAGAACATACTGTTCTTTGAAAGGTGCAAAGGAGACAAATGCCATCCAAATTGGATGCAGAAGGAACCAGACTTCTTCAGCAGTTTTCGGTGAGGATGCTAAGTGCATGAGTGGAAGGTCTGTAATCCCGGTTTTAAGGAGGGATGAGCGCCCAGGTTCTGTGAGCAGGCGGGGCGCGGGGTGGGGGCGATGCTCCACACATTCTTTCCTCTCCCGCAAAGCTCCATGCTTCACCTCAGCGCTCCTGTTTGTGCATGCTGTTGGAGTTCCAGCGCGAGCTGCTTGCCTCCCTCGGCTCCCTGCATCCGTCCGTTGTGCACCCGCTCAAACAGAAGCGTGGAAGGGGGCACGAGCACGCCAGCGCGAGCATGAGGGATGCGGGAGCGAGCATGCCTCCTAACGTTCCGTGAATATGGCGGCGTCCAGAGTCCGTTACAGAGAAAAAGGTAACTGAAACTCAAGCCTAACTTCTTGAGCATGCAGTCCCCACTGTCGCTACCCTTGGCTGTTAGTTTCTTGTATCTTATAGGCAGTGTGGCCTTGAATGACTGAGTGCCCTCCCTAGGCCAGCCTGAAGCCTGGGAGTTTTTACACCACTGGCATTGGCAAGTGCCCAGACCAGGGCTTTTTCCCATCATTCTGTAGGCTGTCCGGCTTTTGATGCGTGTGGATGGGCGGAGTTAATAAATGAGGTGTGAACTTTGAAAGTGTGCCTCGTCTGTGTCCTCTATACTCTCAGGAAGCTTTCAAAGTGTTGGAAAGCATTGTTTAGTTGAACAAACAAATTTCTCATGTTGTTTAAAAATGAGTGAACTTTTGACATACAAGCATAAATATCAGCCAGAAATACAGCCTTCATGTTGCAGCTCCATCAATTGCCACGGATGTTAGTGGCTTTTCACAATTGAATAAATGGCCCTTTAAATTCAGCCTTGCATCTCCTTTTGGACCTCAAGGGTGGCAATAATCAAGAAAAGCATTATGTGAAAATCAGATGAGTAAAAGGAATTTACAACAAAGACTATTTTATTATTTAATTGTATGTGACTAGTATGTAATCGTGTGTGTGTGTGTGTGTGTGTGTGTGTGTGTATGTGTATGTGTGTGTATGATTTTGAGACCAAGAAGGTGAAAAGTGTTTTAATTTCGGGAATGAAAATTGTGGGGTGAGTATTCTCATATATAATGTGGTGCTGTGCTTGCTGACCTTATGCGGAGTAACTCAGAGTATGTATAATTTGCTATATAATTTTTAGGACATAAATTGGGCATTGTGTATGAATTTATAGTTTTGGATTATGAGTGGTGAGAACCTGATGTGTGTATTCTCATGTGGGTGATGGTGTTGGTTTAGATATTTGGAATTAAGGGATTTTGATAGTGTGTAGAGCTTATTGTATTTAGACAATGTGAAATAACATGCGTGTAACCTTGGACTTGGGGTTAGGTATTTGTAATATGGGTTTGGAAATATTTCATCTTTTTTTTTTCTCTTGAAAATTGGGATATTTTTGTTTGTCGTGGAGTTTGGAAGAAATATATTCTTCTTGGGCAAGAAATAAGTGCATGTGGACAATGTTAAAGAAATCATGCATATTTCTGTGGCAATACAAAAGGGAGAATATTGTTGGGAAAATTCAGGATTATTTGTATGTTTGGAATGCCATGGATGGTTACAGGATTTGCCTACTGTGTTTATAGCATGTGAAGACAGGTGTGTGACAAGTTTTTTTTTTGGGGGGGGTGGCTTGTAGAGTGGATATGTACTCCTGTAGTGTCAGGTTCATATGATTCTAAGTTTGAAAGATGGAGGAGTTATTTCATTGTGGATATTCAAAGTGTGTCATCTCATTTATGCAAGTGGTAAGATTGTACATATGGGAGCAGATAGATTTGCACATTTGAAGTGTTATATAAATGTTTGATGTTGATGGAGAAATACATGGGTATGGAATTTGCATTTTCTTGTATGGCTTGTGAATGTTTATATTTTCTATATGTGACCAGATTTTTGTGTGGAGAATATTTAGGTGACAGAATGTTTACTAAAGTGTCATGACAGTTTGAATGAATTGTAGCAGGAATCTTAAAAATTCTTATTAATAAAATCAAACCCGAGGCCAGTTATTGGGGTGAATACTGGAAGGTCAGAGAGACAGAACAAGCCACAGCTATCTCACCTCACCAGTTCCTCAGCTGGTCCTGTTTCCTCAGACTGGAAGCCTCTGAGTCCTCATCCAGAATGAATCTCAGCTGAACTGTGTTGCTT